ACAATTTTCTTTATTTCTATCTAGTTTAAAAACTACCGATAAAGCGCACCCCATAAAAAACATGTTTTAAAAGGTATTTCTTTCAGAAAACGAATCCGTTTAATGGAACCCTCGTGACGGTATAAAATGGAAAAGTCTCAATAATATCATAAAATCAAGTTCGTAGACTGAGATTTTTATCAAAAATCAAACCCACTATGGAAGTTAAATGATATGTGGTCAGTAAATATAGAAATGATTTACTTACACAATGAAATGCAAAAAATATCATCACATCAAACACAAAAAGTGTTGAGATATTTGAAATTAAAAGAGAGTTAAATGAATATGAAATTACTATGGATATTCATCAATTAACGGCCGAAGCAATCAGAAAATAAAATAAATAAAATATTTCGAACATCCGATTGATATATTTAGATAAGTTAGTTGAAAAAATTTAATAAAGTAAATTATTATAAGAATAAACTTCCTAAAAACGTTTTTCCAAATGGAGTTAATCTCCAGCAATGCAAATTCAATATGAATCGCTATTTTCGCATAGGCACCGCTCTGAGAGCGCCTTAAGGATTTTCCTGAAGTGCTTGTATTTTGTATTGTATTACGAAAGTGCCTGGGTGGCTCATCGATGTCCAACAATATTCAATCACCTTCCTCAAGCTATATAATGACTTTAGCGCTCTTAAGAAAGAATTGAAAGACTTGCTTTCTGTGAGCTCAGCAGAATTCTACGATAATAATTTCAATTGGGTATGACCAACTGTAATATCTACGGTATTTTATTGATTTGATTTGCCATGATTCAATTTAATCCAAATTAATTCATTTTATATTATTGGCCATGTTATTTACATGTCTCTTTTCAATTCATGTTATCACTTACTTTTTGTGATTTAACTTTTGTGATTTCATTTATATGCATTTATATGTTTCACCATGCTTTGTCAACAATATCTTTTTCTTCGGACAATAAAGTATATTTTGAATTGAATTTCACTACTATCCTGAACGTCTCCTGTTCTAGAGCATCCACTTTTCATCACAAGTGATCCGAATCCAATCCGAAAAAGGATGTTTTGGTGCACAGGAGAAAATACATCGAAACTTGATCGTTCAAATTATAGTTCACCCACTTTCCAAGCTTTGTGACCTTTCCAATACGTTTTTATTCATCAAAAACCATATGGGAGCTAACGCCCAGTTCTTCCGCCAACCCACGCACCGTTTATGATGGATGAGTCTCCACGAGGGTTTTCAAATTTTCGTCCTAGATTACTGTAGGCCGACCACTTAGGGGCTCACCTTAGAACCTAAAATCTTTGAAACAAAATTTCACAAACCAACGTCGAATAGTAGGGTAGACCGGAGACAATTGAAACAGGGGACAATAGAAACAACCGCCATAGTAGACCGATTTCGCGGTTTAAATCACGCGCTCTTATATCAAACGAAGCGCCATTAGATGAAGCACGTAGCCATCTATCGGCCACTGACGGCAGTTGTGAGTGTATGTGCACGTCCACGATAACTTGATTTCCCGCTATCGAAGTAAACTTTTACACTGATTGAAAAAGTGTGTTACAAGAGATAAAAACGTAAGTATCCAGCTTAGACTATATTTATTACTTTGTTTGGTATATGCACTTTAGTCGGGATACTTTAAATTATTACTCTAATCCAATAATCCAAGAGTAAGAAAATATTTGAGTGTTCACTCAAAAATGTGCTGCAGGGACAGTTGAAACACATGACATGTCGTGAATTTTTCATGTGGTTCATATTGTAGGTTGTGTAGGGGTATGTTAAGGTGTTAACTTTTGTTTTAGGATGCCACGAGTAAGAGTGAGAAAAACTGAGAGAGGATTAAAATCCATTTTGGAAAATAATGCTTCGATAAGGTCTGCAGCAGCTAAATATGAACTACATTACGTCTCTTTGAGTAGATTTATTAGGAAGAAAAAGCAAGCAATTGAGCAAGAATCCGCTGTTCCTGTCACTATGGGTTATCATTGTGTGAGGCAATATTTGACGTGAACCAGGAAAAAATTATTGTTGGCTATATAATCAAAGCAGCGCATATATTCTACGGATTACCACTCGAAAAAATTCGGAAATTAGCTTTTCAATTGGCCGTGAAATATTCGCTGAAAATGCCAGATACGTGGAGACAAAATGCCATGGCAGGAGAGGATTGGTTTTCTGGATTTATGAAACGCAATCCAAAACTTTCAATCCGCTGCGCTCAAGCAACTAGTTTCAACGTTACGAACGTAAAACTTCTTTATGACAACCTAGCTAATGTTATGGACAGGTACAAATTTGAACCGAAAGATATATATAATGTCGACAGGGGTCACGACGGTCCAAAAACCTGTTAAAGTAGTAGCCGAAAAGGGAACCAAACAGGTAGGCGCACTGAAATCAGGAGAAAGAGGAACGCTGGTAACCGTAGCTTTAGCTGTAAATGCTATCGGTAACAGTGTACCCCCCATTTTTATATTCCCACTGTTGAGATACAAGGATCACTTCGTCCGTGACGGTCCAGTGGGGTGTATTGGAGCAGGACACGCGAGCGGCTGGATGCAAGAAGATGAGTTCTTGATATACCTCAACCATTTTCAAAAACACACCAATGCTTCAATTGAAAATAAAGTATTGCTTTTACTTGATAATCATCAGTCACACATAGGTATACGATGCTTGGACTTCTGTAAAGAAAATGGCATTTTCATATTGTCTTTCCCCCCACATTGTTCACACAAATTGCAACCGCTAGATCGATCTGTCTACGGTTCTTTTAAGAATGCTGTAAATTCAATTTGCGATGCCTGGATGAGAAATAACCCAAGCAAAACAATGACAATTTACGATATCCCAAGCTCACACAGTCAAATATCGTAGCTGGATTTATTAGCACTGGCATATGTCCCTTTAATAGAGATTTATTCACGGAAGTAGATTTTGCTCCCTCGTATGTCACGGATAGACCAGCATCACCAGGCACTCATCACACTTCTCCAGCATCGACAAGTACTCATTGCACTCCATCAACATCTCCAAGCACTCATCGCACTCCGCCAGCATCACCAAGCATCTCAAAACTCATAATTTCGCAAGCTGACGCAAAACCAAGCACCTAAAAATCTGTATTTTCACGTGCTGATGCAGAACCAAGCACTTCAAAGGCCGAATTCTTGCCAGAAATCGTTAGACCGTTGCCGAAAGCTCCGCCTAGGAAAACATGTTACAAACGAAAAACTAGAAAATCTGCTATCTATACGGACACTCCTGAAAAAAATGCAATTCAAGAGGAGTATGATGCAAAAAAGAAAAAGAAAGTTAAGAGAAAAGTTACGGAGTTCAAAGACATGCCATAGGCAGTTCGTCAGCTCAAGAAAACCAAACAACGCCAAAACAATCAGGAACAGAGTGAAAGGGACGAAGAAGAAACTTACTGTCTAGTTTGCCTGGAACCGTATGGCAATAGTCGCCCTGCATTGAATGTCGTCACTGGTCCCACGAAGAATGTACTCGACAAGAAGATCTTTACATGTGTCACAATTGCTTGTCAGAATGAATATTTTTAATTTGTATTTGTATGTAATTTATTTTGTATTAGAATAAATATTTCTCTAATCTGAATGCTGTTTCAATTGTCCCATGTATATGTTTCATTCGTCCCCGGCAAGGGGACGATTGAAAAAGTTTGATGAGCTACAGTTTTTGTTTTATATCTTATTTATCTATAATTTTAGGCGAACGAAATGATGTAAATAGAAACCCGATTGAATATGCTCCCTTTTACCCTTGTCATAATTAAGAAATTTGCGATAGGTGCAGAGAAAAAAATTCAAGAAGCAAAAATATTTCAATTGTCCCCGGTCTACCCTACGTTCATTAACATTATCATTGCCTGGTTAATATTGGCCGAAAATCGATGAATATCGACGGATAAAAACACATTTTTTTTCATTATCGTATGCTAGAATATATAAAAATCGCCGCTAAATCATTTGGGGAGCACTGTGATGGGTCTAATGGACCTTTCACTATAACCTGCGAGGTTTCATTGTGGTACACAACTCCACCAAACCAGGTCGATCTCTTTATAACGAAGCTGATTAGTTTTCTCAGAAGGTTATTGATATGTAAGATAAGATGGGAAGTACATTGCATATACTTTCCAGTTTCATCATCTTCCGAAGGCACGTCGTATCTTCTGACAGTTCAATTCTCTTTATACGATGATCCAGCTGATAGCGACCTGTAAGTATATAGAATATGCCTATGAAGAAAATCATCTCTACTCTAGTCTTACAATTGTTTGGTGACATTCTTCTAAAAATGGAGCCAATCCTGGAACATTTTGACAAAAATCTGAAACTCTTCTTGTAGTCCAGTGTTTGGTAAAACCCAAAATCATGCCAAAGAAAGGTTTGGATCTGCCAAGTTAGTAAGTTTCATTACTCCCCAGACCAAAAATCCAGACCCAAGACAATTTTTGATTCACAGAAGACTTCTCCTACACCCACTTTTCTATGAATATCACGAAAACTTTTACACCCAGTTAGTGTAAGGGGGCCACTGAAACTTTTTTCCAGTACGAATTTTGATGCCTGTATTTAATTTTAGTTTACTGAATAGATTTTATTGCGTGATTCAAACTGTAACTTAGTCAATAACGAATTTTTGAAAAATCTAAGAATTATTCAGTGTTACGATCTTCGTTCGGGTTTGAAGTCCTTCGTTGTTTGGATCTTAAAGCCACTTGAAGATGTTCCAATTCATCTTGTAGGTGTTCCGGTTTACATATTCTACAGGCATGTTCCGTTAGGGTGTTGATAATTCATCGCTTTTGACTTGGATGGTGGTTCGAAAGTGCATGCAGATATCTGTCCGTGTGTGTCGGTTTTCGGTACACTTTACGTGTCAGTCTTGTGTTTAGTGAAGGAGATCATATTCGTTCGTCAACTACTAAATATCACAACATCCAAGCCGCCTCTGTGGCAGTCTCGATCGAAAACATAAATATCACATTTTCTTTCTGTAATCTGTGCTTGGCAAGATGTGGAACTGTTTGAGAGTTTTTGTTTTGATAGTGATTTTATGTAGTGTTGTCAATGGTAGTGCTGTTACATACGAAGAGTTTTTCAAGTTGAACTTCACAAATGATCCTAGACATCCTTTACAAGCTAATATAATCAATGTTCGTTGCAAAAAAGGATTTGTACGAATTCGTGGTAGATGTCGAGAGACGTTTCAGGTTAGTGATGTCATTGAGTGAATTTCCGTTGTAAATTTGTTTTGCTAATGGAACAGGGACGGTATATTTATTTTCGAGTATTGCCTGAGATACACTAATGAATTTATCAATAGCATAAAATTGTCAGCTGCGTTATATTTTTTGTTTTCGTGAATGTTGACCATAGTTTATTTCATATGAATTTCTCAACGTTTCACAGGAGCATGAACACAGAGATTACGAACAACGTGGGTTCAAGTTTTGACTTCCATATTTTATTATTTGTACCTTGTTATAGAAATTAACGATACAGTGCACTTCATAGCAAAATATATTCAAAATATATTTTTACAATACTTTTCCAAGAAAACAAATATGTTAAATTGAACCCTCATGACGATATGAAAGGCAACATGTTTCATTGTTAGAAATATCACAAAATTGTAATTTTTAATTATAATATCGACCCAAATTACTGAAAACTCACAATGCTGTTTTCTAATAATTGTATATTGAGTGGTATCTTTGACAAAAATCATACCCACTGTGAAATGATATTTTAAAAGTTTGATTATTCGTGATCAGAAAATATAGAAAAAAATCACCTAAACAATAAAATGCGAAAAATATCATCACATCAACCACAAAAAGTGTTGAGAGATTTGAAATTTGACGAAAATTGAATGAATAAGATATTTCCAACATTAGCGAGTCAGTTGGAAAAATTGAATGAAATGATAGTTTAATAACACTAATTTGAAAAGAAAATAATTTATTGTGATTTCGAATATAAATTAAATAATAGCGAGAGTTGAATATAAAATATCAAAAATATATAAACTAAATAAATACATTTCAAAGAGAATAACGACAGAAAAAATCAACAAATGAAAATATAAGTTCAAACTACTACACGGCATTCCGATTATTACTATCCACAATCATCTTCCGTTAATAACTGGCCTGTTCCTGATTCAAAACTATTTAAATTTTATATTTATGATTCAAAATAATTTGTCACTTTCTACCACCCATGAGAACACATACTGCAACATACACAGGCAGACCGGTATGAATTCAGCAGCTGAACTTTCGCAATCATTTCGGCGGAAACACACGAACAATCAGAGGCGTCGTTGGCTGCTAAAAATAATTTCTCTTAGAGGGTCAAGTGAAACTTATTCAACATATATCAGCAACGGGATCAGATGAACAGGAAATCACTTTTTCTGTATAATATATTACTTTGAAATGATAAAAACTGATCAAAATAAATTAATCATTAACTGAAAAATACAGAATTAACAGGAAAATTCACAAATATACATTCATGGCATGACTGAAAGTCGAATTCTTGAAATAGTGGTGGGCTGAATGCATGGAAATGAACGAAACATTGCAACTGGAAAATGTATTTTCACATTTTGACAACATAGTAATAGTTTTCTCCGTTATCAGTGAATGAATATCATTAGTTCGGACTTCCATTGTCTGATATTAAATAAAATGATTTGAAATCCCTGAAATAACTAAAAAAGAAGAATTGAAAATTACAGAAAAAGAATAAAAATACTAGTATAAGTAACTCAATGAGAAAACTCCAAACCAAATATGTTAATTAAATGACAAAATCCTCATTAGTCTTGAGGAAAACAAGTGAAGAAGTTTGTAGAATAAAAGTAAAACCCTGCCATAGGGAGGTTGGAAGTTTGTTAAAGGAAAAATATCAAAATGTTATGAAATTATATTAATGAAAAACCAAAATTCTTGTTGGTTTGGAAATTATGTAGATTTTTATCAATGTCTAATAAAAAGGCATGGATTTCACTGAGGTGATCAATGTCTGATCTATTGTTCTATAGTTTTATCATCTACAAACAGCACACCTTTCAAACTGAATTACATGACAGCTGACATTATCAATTGTTTTGTGTCACTCTCTTTTTCCTTAAACCACATGGCAACAAATAACAAATAACGATTTTTAGTAAATTTCAATTCAATATTCTTCTTTGTATCCAGTGAGGTGTCTACCTCTTTTAATTTAATAACTTGTTTATTGTATGGACATGTTTCTATTGTTTAAAAGTAACATTCTTTTCGACACGGCCAACCTCACTAACAGTAAGTTGTGACCTCTCATATTAATAATTTTTATATTGTATCACCGTCATAAAAATATTTTATAGCTTTTCCCTGAAGATGATAATAAATTTTATCGAAATATTGGAATAACTTGTGTTATAAGAGTACACTTCCGTTCTGCTGCTCACCAAAAGATAATTCCCAAGTTTTGTACTTAACTAGTCAGCAAAGACTGTCATTCAACTGTACAATTAAATGGCTTAACAGGGTCTCTCAGTCAAAAAATCAAAAATCAAACTCTGTTCTACTTTGCCCCAAGCTATTGGGAAGCTTCTTCAGGGCAGTAATAATGAGTGAAAAATAAATATTGAACATATAAATTGACGAAACAACTTTTGTGAACTTGAAGTAGATATCTTGTTTCAATAATGTGGAGATTGATTTTCTAATTTTTTATTAGAATTATTATTCCCTCCATACCCCCTCGCCAAACAATTTTTGTGTAGTTGAATACCGTGTTTTCATGAACAAAACCATAATTACTGTATGGAAGTGAGAAACCAACATTTTGAAAACATTTCACAGTAAATATAATAGCTTGTTACCAATTTCAAAACTTCTTCCGATATCCACTAGATCAAGTTCCAAAAAATGTAAAGCATCAAAAAGAGAAATCGAAGACTTTTCAAATGAGGTATTGCTTGACCCCTGGTCCCATTAAAGATATAGAAGTTGGGCCACCCCGTATATACAAGAAGCGAAACATTTAAATTCTCATCGATCAGCACTAGAGATGGAGCTAACATATGAAAAGTACTGCGAATAAAATTACAAGAACACAATAACTAATCGATTTTTAACCTCATACGACCGACCACGAACAGACCCCCCCTACTACGAAAGGATCAGACGATATCTTGAGTGCAAACCCAGAAATTTACTATTTTATACCCCACAAATATTAGTACTCCACTACCATGGCTCATAAACCTACCCAAATTCAACTACCAACTATCCATGTTTGATAAATATGCCACAAATACCAAAATCATTATCCAGAACTTCGGACAACTGGTCATTAAGTAAAAGAGCTGCAAAGAAATGTCTTCATGATTAACAAAGATAAATTTTTTAATTTTTTCAAGTGTTTGTAGACTACTCAGCGAGTCTGAGATTATTTATTATAAATTTTTCTGCTTCATCTGATGGCAAAAAGTTCCCCTGTGAGGATTGTCACTGTTTTTGGAAGTTGGGAAGTTGATTTATTTGATCATTTACTACTGAGGCTGAAATAAAAGCAAATCTGATGTATGTTGAAAGTGCGCAAAATAAAAACCAAGCTGTTTGGAACATAATTAGAAAGTATACAGGTAAATCATAAAATAATCCAGTTTCAATAATTGAATCCGCAAACAAAAAAAGTGCTAAAACAATCCTAGATAAAACAAATGAATATTTTGCTTATCAATTAATGGATTTGAAAACAAATAATTTCCAGGAAAAACAAATTACAACCTTAACAAATTCACTATTCTGGAAACCAAGTGACTCCTAAGAAATATATGATGTAATTACCTCACTAAAAAACAAAACATCAGTAGGAGATACCGATAAAAGTGTTGAAATATGTAGCTGAGGAGATTTGTTATCCTCTTAGCAACATAATAAATCTGATGTTGACTAAAGGAATTTTCCCAGATAAGTTAAAAATTGCTGCAGTCAGAGCCATTTATAAAAAAGGAGGAAAATCTAATTGGCAAAACTATCGACCAATAGCTCTTTTATCAAATATCAGTAAGGTTTTTGAAAAAATAATTTACTCAAGAATTGTAAATTTTGTTGAAAGTCACAAACTGATATCAGATTCTCAAAATGGTTTCAGAAAGGGTAAATCCACTATACTAGCGCTATATATTGCCCTTACTGCGATATTAAACTCATTGAACTATAAAAATGAAACTATAGCAGTATATATAGATCTTTCTAAAGCATTCGATAGGGTTTACCACACTACACTCTTAAAAATACTTGAATATTTTGGAATAAGAGGAGTGTTCTTGAAACTGATACACTCTCACATAATAAATAGATTTCAATACCTAATAGAAAGAGATGAGAACGGAGAACAAATTAAATCTAAAAAGGAAAAAATTCCTACGGGTTTTCTCTTCCACTCTTTTATTTTATTTTATAACAGATTTTTATTATTGACGTGTTTGGGTATTATGTATTGTACACATGAACGAATAAAGAATATCTATCTATCTGAGACATCCAATCTGACAAATTATCAAAAGAGACTTTATAATTTGCAAATTTTGAATAAGCAAGTTGACCTACTTCGAGATCCCTACCATATAGGAATAGAAGGCAACGAAACAACTGACCGAGGCGCACGTGAGGCGATAATGAACCCGAACCAGGAAGCCCCACATCTCACTTTCTACACAGATTTTAAACCATATATAAAAAGTTTGCGGAGGGATATCAGGAACAAAAAGTGGCAAAATGTAAAGTTCAAACTCAAAATAAAACAGCGGTAGGACCGTGGGATCATGCAAATCTGACGAGAAGAGAACAAGTGATTGTGGCAAGACTCAGAATAGAACATACCAGCCTTACCAATGAATATACATATTTACCATTCGAAGCTTGATACCAAACAGTTGTTGGATTTCAATAGGGATGAACTACGATGTCTAACAGCAGAGTTGTCTGCGTTGCTAGTTGGGTATGGTCGTCGTCACATTATTACAATAATAACGATTCTCAATCCTTTTCGATGAACGAGAAGAGTTACAAAATTCTCTGTGGCTGTTCGTTGGAATATATACAGGGACATAGAGACAAGTCAGTTGGAGATTAGTTTTGAGAACGGGCGGCAGGTATACTCGTGAAATAGTAAAATAATTTCAAGCTGTAATTAACTTGAGAACTGTTGAGATGAATTATAAATTATTGGGTAGTGTTGTTAATAACCGCTCATTATTAAGAACCCCCTCATAGATGTTTCCTAATCGATATTCCACTATTTCCTCCATATGGTAAAACAATATCAATTGTACCAATTAAAGTGTTCTATTATGTATTACCAAAAACTAAAAGTTATTTTTTTTTTCAGTGAACCTGCCAGTGTTTGGAAGAATCACCATTAAGAACATCATGGACGACAAGTAGTTTTCGAATATTAGAGTTAAGAAGATTCAGTTAACCAACTAGCAGTGTAAGGAAAACTTCACACATGTGAATTTTCACAATATGAAAATCTCAACTAGGACGTATTTTGTTTCATTGAAAATATTGTATTTAGATATTAAAAGTAATTAAAATTCATTTTTCTGTTCTTCTTTCGTACGAGTATCAAATAAGAGTAACTGGAAATACATGTATTTATCTTATTCTGAAACCTTTTCATTTATATATTGCAAAAAATATTTGGTGTTCAAGCTGTTTTAGAATGGGAGGAGCATACATTGACTAAACAAATGAAGGGAAATATATTTCCAGAAAAACAAAGTTATATTTGAAAGTCAACTCTCATTTAAAGAAATACTTTTGTCAATATTTTTCAATGATTCTTATAAACACAAATACATTCTGACTCGTGAAAACATATTAACATATTAATCAATTTCGAATGTTTTTTATTAGCTTCCACATGTTCATACTCGAACACGTTATGCACAGGCCTGAGGAAGCTATTGTATAGTGAAACACGTGTTGTGGTGCTCTGCGAAAATGAACCCAAAAAGTATTAAACTGAACAAATGGATTCAATCGTTTCTCAATTGAGAGCTCGTGCGTTCATGTTTCCTAAAAAAAACAATTATTCTCTTGTTGAATATCCCACACCACACGTTTTTCATTTCAATTTTATATATCAAACTCAATCTCGCAGCCTAGACTCAAAGAAGCTGATAAAACTATCATCGAATATTGTTGAAATTAACATCATTTGGAATATTGGGCTAGTTGCTGAAGTTGAATATATTTTCCCAATCTCCATCAAATATTCATACCTTTCAAAACATTTTGTTCGTTTAGTGGTAATAAAGTCTTACAAAGAATTCAAAAGAGAATTTCTATAGCACTCTCTTTTGCGACTATTGATAGAGTTTTCAACTTTGTTGTCGCACCTTATATTAGGTACTTTCCCATTCGATTCGATATAATACACACTTGATGTAAATTTCATTACATCATAATGCATGTGAATATACTAATCAACTTCGTTTTACTTGTCGTAGAATTACATGAGTTTTTATGGAATTATCGTATTGAAATTTCAATGTGTATTTAACACACAAAAAATGTAAATTTACTAGTAGAATTTCAGTGTATAGGGTCCAATTTTGTAAAAGTAGATTTTAAATGTTCAAATTTTAGAAGTAACTTTCAGTTTGAAATGTATTCAATGTAGAATACATGTGAACACTTGTGTGAATAGTCGAATCACTACCATTATTTATCTATATTATTTCTAGAATCATCTTTGAGACTAGTGGAATTCATAAATACAGTATATTGTATGATTTTCACTACAAAAACCGCAAACATGTTCCGTTATACAATAGCTTTCTCAAGTGTTAATAATCACTTGAGAACACTATTGTGTTAATTCTGAAAAATCCTTGACAGAACAAGTGAGCATTGAATGCGTTTGAAAGAAACAATATTCCACATCAATATTACTTTTCTTCATTTTGTTCATGAGGTTTATTATCCTCTTTGAGCCAGCAGATCTGGATTTCGTTCCGACTTCTGGGTGTATTTCTAGAAAATACCTTTACACCAATTCCATAGTTGAGGATATGTTTACAGAGATACTTTGAATTTGAAGTAAAGGAAGAATGTGTCAATGGAAGTAATGAATCCATGTTGTCTCATCGATAATTTTTCGTAGAGCACAAAAAATGTGTTATTTTCTTCATTACCTGAAACAGTTAGACGAATACTAATACTGAGCCTGTGAAAAATGTTCAGATGATCAAATGTTCAGGTTCGGACAGATTTGAAAACTGTGAAGAAATTAAATTAAATATAGAAATACCAATAATACTACTAATAATATTAGAAAATAATGTCCTCTCTACTCTCGAATCTTAAAATCATATCGGCTTGCCGCACTAAGGCAGAAATCTTAGCCGCACAGATGCAGAAGGCTGTCATTCTTGGCTAACTGCGCTTGCCTAGGGTACATGATTCTTGGACCTAATGATCACTTACCCCACGGTGTGGGGAGTGGTCATTGGTTGATTTACAAAAAAAATAACAGGACCCAAAAATTTGGATGAGTTAATTGAAGAGAAATTTATCACCAAAGATGAGAAAGAAATAAAAAAGGGTATGAAAGTCATAAAAATGACAACGCTAATTCGTGAAGGAAACAAATTATCGTGACCAGAAATGAAAATGAATTTATTAATGGGTTCAACAATGATTGCTCTGAATTCTATATCCAATGAATGAAAATATGTTTATCGTTGCTTCTGGTATCGTGACAGTGAAAACAGCAAATAATGAATATGATAACTTTGGAAATAAATTCAGGGAATTTACATTATAACACGTTATCACACCACAATGAACTTAAAAAAACACTTGTGCGACGACAACAGGACAAGGTACATCTTTGACACTGTCGAAGTAAATTTATTTTAGTGCAGCATTCAAAAAAGTATACGAGCGTGCATAAATTCGCCATTACATGCGATCATATTCGGAACAACAAGAATTTTATAGCGTTTTCCATTGGCGAAACTAGTGCATATTCAGTGTATTTCTATCCTCCATTCCTGAATACATACATGAAGAGTAGAAATACAGTAAAAAGTTATTTTCTACTCGAATTAGTTATCTACTCTGTTTTTTTGTATTTTTTACTATTAGTATCAAGTAGTTTTCATATTGTATGCCATCCATGTTTTCATTTACTTTCAACTATTATTGATAATTTGTTGGGGGATTATAAACCCCCTTATTTGTTTACAGATTCAAAACAAATGATTCTGATCTGGGGTTCTGAGAGGCAGACCATCCTTAATATTTTTGTCTGTAAGGCTGGTTGCAGATATAACAGCGTGCCCTTAAAAATATTTATTTGGATTCCAAATCATTGGAACTTATTTGCCGGTTGCTACAGGTGTATAAATTCCGCATTCTTTCACATTCTTGCCGGTGGGACTTGAAACAGTCAATAGGTCGCAACTATTTTTTCAACCTTTCATAGATTGAATATACTTGAATATAGGTTAAAAATTAACTTCTGTCTAATTTTTATCAAGTATATTATTTTTCACGACGTTTCGGTTTGTTAGATCGTTCTCAAGTAATTGATATCTTTTGTAAAGACAAGTCCTTAAATATACAATGATACAGTCAAGTACCTGTAATAGTACCTACCTAAAATAACAAATGTTACCTGAATTATCAATACCAATACTACAACAATAACTAATTATCTTTTATAATAGATCTCGAATACGAACTATTAATCCCCAAAAACCTACTTGTGGATTTTTCCAGAAATCAATGGTTCTTAAACTAGATGTCAAAATTCACAAATTCAAAAGGGGAGAGCTGCCTAGTTCTAGTTGATCATTGAACGTTTTGAAATGAGGGTTTTCATACAATTCATTTTTTAATTGATTCTTTTTTCAGCTACACGATTTCATGTTCAGATTTACTATCCGACGTTTCGTCTTCTGGCAAACATCATAAACTTTTTTTTTCTATTATGGGCGCCATATTTGTTTGCATCCAGAAAAACAGTGCCTCTCATTCTGATTTCATTGATGTATAATTTGCTACGATTTGCTCTTCTGAAACCACAGGTATTTGAAATAAAACAACTTCATCTGAGATGGTCATGACTCCATTGAAAAATTTTGTTAAATAAACACTAGTTGTCAGAACTCATCAAACATCATAAGTTTGCACAAATACTTCAGTCGAAATGTCCTCATTCTCAAAAGAAGAAAAACGGGATATGTTGAAACTTTATTATAAATTGGATAGGAATAGTATGAAAACAACCTAAATTTATTTTGAATTATATACGGAAAGATAACAGCCGGATAGAACATCATTCGGAGTTTTGGACAAACAGTTGGTTGACTACGGTGCGTTTCAGTAACCAAGAATGAAGTATGGAAGCAGAATGGAAGAAAATACTAGAAATAACTTATTAGGCGGACTTATTATTCGAAAAATAGTATATATTATTATTGGTATTTTTGATACTTTTTTAGATAAATGCAGACCCTTCCAAATCAACGCATCAAGTCTCGGCAAAAATGATGAGCCACAGACGAGGGTTTGGAGGGAATTCAAAAAAAGTGGTTTGAAATGTTATAAGATACATATTTCACAAAATTTACATCCAGGTGATCCTGAGAGAAGAATGAAATTTTGTAGCTGACTCTCGAATAGGGTAGATCCTACAAACTTCTTGAAAAACATTATTTGGACCGGCGAAAGTACTTTTTCGAACTGTGGTGTCTTTAATAGAGATGAGCACATTTGAATTGAAAAATATTACTGGAGTTTTTTCCCAGCACCAAATCGTTATTTCAACACCTCGACACGTGTTTCGATCACCAAGTGATCCTCTTCAAGAGGAAGGAAAATATTAATTTTTTTCAGATTCTTGACATGTCACCTATGTACTTGTGATGCACTGTTTGGAACCTTTGAAGATGATCACTTGGTGATTGAAACACGTGTCGGGGTGTTAAAGTAACGGTTTGGTGTTGGGAAAAAACTCCAGTAATATTCATTACTACACCAAAGGTTCCAAACAGTGCATCACAGAATTTGAAGTGAAAATAATCCACAACACTTCAGAGAAGACAAACCACAGGTTCGGTTTCGTTTGAATGTGTGGGCTGTAATTTATAACGACCGAATACTTGGACCCCATTTTTTCTCTAATACTGTGAACGGGGAAACCTATCTTCGGTTTCGCCGTTAATTATAACAGCTGTTGGTTACAGTACGACGGAGCTCTTCCACAGAATAAAAGAGCAGTTTGCGAATATTTATACCAAAGATTTCCTAATAGGTAGTTGAGAAATTCTGGACCAGTGAGGTGGCCAGCAAGGTCACCTAACCTTACAGTTTTGGATACTTTTTTATGGGGCACTTTAAAGAATATAACCTATGGAGTTGGCGACCAAGAATATAATACAGTGGGTGAACTTTGAGAAAATATCATCACACAATTCAGGTCTATCAGAATAAGAAGGGATATTGTTAGGGCTGTTCTTAATTTGAGACGAGCTCGCTTATGCATTCAAAAGGAAGGCCATCATTACGAACACTTTTTGTAATACCTTTTTGTGCATAATTCAAAAAGAATTTGTGCTGTTTTCGTACTATTCCTATCAAAATTATAATACAGTTTCAACATATCTCGTTTTTTCGTTTATGATGTTTGATGAGTTCTGACTAATGTTAATTAAACAAAATTTTCGATGGAGTCATGACCATCTCAGATGAAGTTGTTTTTTTATTACCTGTAGTTTCAGAAGAGCCCGTCACAACAAATTATACATCAATGAAATCAGAATGAGAAGCACTATTTTTCTGTTCAAAAAAGCAATATGGCGCTCATATTGTTGATGATGATTGCCAGAAAATGAACCGTCGGACACTAAATCTGAACATGAAAACGTGGTTTTGAGCTATATGTTGTCAAATAACGTTAGAAAAAAATAAAAACGAAAATTTCGATTTTCATTTTTTTCCGGATATTTCCGGAAATACTAGGAAATTAACAAGTTTCAAAACAGTATTTTGTTAAGCACAAAAAACGAAACTTTGCCCCAATGTAAGCTTTTCCGTTTCTCTTGTAATTTAGGAAATCCCAATGGTGGGGTTCGAATTTGAATTACCCTTTTGCGTTGAATAACATGTTTCCCAAATTATTCCTATTAGTAAATGATGTATTCATGTTTAGTTTTGAAAAATAGTTTTTTATGTTTTCGGAGAGCTTTCCCGAATATTCTATGCTAGTAAGTTCTTCATGATTTAGGTATAGTTCGTTCCTGATCAATTTTTTGTTCTTATTGGAGATCAGTTTCTCAATTGACTTGGCGGGAATATGGTTGTTACATGCTATCTGCTTCATGATCTTCATATCTTCTTAAAAATTTCTCTCTGATGACGGAATCATGAATGATCTATTTGTCACTGATCTGAATGCTGATAATGGACTGAAAGAATCCATTGGAATTGTACAGTCCGTGAAAGTGTTTTTCCTATATATGTGGTACAACTCAAATAAAATTTTTATTTGGTTCATAACAAAGCTACAGCTTTAGAACATATCACAAAATACCATAAAGTTAAGATATGCTCAAATGTAAAATATAAAATCTTCAGAAGATACAGTGCAATAAAAATAATAATACAGTACATACATACAATCGTGAAAGGCATCTTTGCTCTATGGTCCAGGGAATGGATGGAAAAAGTAAGTAATGTGTTTAAATGTTTTTTGAATTCAGTATAGATCAGAGAACGTACTGTAAGAGGTAGGGCATTGTACATTTCAATATCAATAGTATCGTTCATTCTTTGTAACCGGGTTTGAGGTATAATCTTATTTCTTATCTTTATTTCTAGTATTGTGACCGTGTATATCGGACACAACGGAGTAACTATTACTGTTTTGTTTGACATATAGTAACTTTACAAAAATTATCAAAGAGTAAAGTGTCATTATTATCAACGTTTCAAAGATTGATTTGCAGGAGTCTNGTGGTAGGAATGACAAAACTCCGACGCGACGCTCATCCCGTTTAATTTTCTGATGTGATGGTTTGTTTTGGTAGCAGGAAGTTATAGTAATTCACACCAGCCGCTGACGACTATACAGTAACAATGGTCATTTTTGGTAGGTTTTCGCCTTTGCGAATTGCCTGGGTGGCTCATGATCGTGTCAGTTGCGCGAAAGCAGAGAAGAACAGACCTCGAAACGTTAAAATTTCTGTAGATCATTCAAATCGTGAGACACCCAATTTTCGAGCTTGTTGACCTTTCCAATACATTTTGAACCATCAAATACCGCATGGGAGCTGACATCCAGTTCTTCCGCCATCCCACGCAACGTTTGTGATGTGTCGTCAGTCTCCACCAGGCTCCTCTAATCCTTGTCCTGGATTACTGTAGGACGACCACTTCGGGGCACATCTTCAATGCCAAAATTTCCAGAACAAAATTTCGCAAACCAACGTCGAACAGTGCATTCATTAACACCATTATTGCCAAATGCCAAGTTAATTTTTCGAGCAGTTTCGGCAGCGCTTTGGTTCAATTTGAATTCATAGAGAAAATGTATAGAGTTCATAATTCTCTATCGATCATATACCGCGATACAATAAAATAAATATTTGAGATATAGAGCTACAAAAAAAAACACATGACATTGAAACGGACAAAACTTTTGAAATGATATAGTAAAATGGTTTAAGCAGATAATTTTCTCTCTAAACGAAATTGAAATGTGGGTAGTTAGTATCGGAGAATATAAAAATAGTCGTACGAAACGTCAAACTCGAACTTTTTCATACAAAAGTGAATTGTTTCATATTTTACATTGGCAGCTGATCTCAAAGTGTGGAGAAAAATATATTTCGATTTGGTGATCATAATTTTCAAAAAGTAACGTAGATGAATTATAAAAAATTATGAATCAATTGACCAGATCATTTTTTCAAAATCACACAGAAATGATAATGAATATTTGATGTTTACTCTATGATTACTTAGTAGTTATCTTATCACTTATTTCTATCATGAATCATGCACGTAGACAGCCATTTTATTGCCATTACTCAGTTTAAATTGCCAACACCTGTGACAAAAAAAATTTGCCTCAATCTTTTAACCAGATTATAGTTTAACAAAGGTTGTTACCATGTTCACGTCTCGTTCAACGATTTTATTGTTTTTTGTCATTGTATCAATATTCGCAATGGCCGTTCTAGCTGGTGTGAATGGGTCCTTTGTACTCCAAAGTATCATCGCAGTTCCTTGCCAACCAGGATACGTGAAAGTTGGTACCAAATGCATAAGACAATTTGAATAACTGGTAAGATCATTCTCCATACTTTTATTCGAAGTCAAAAGACTATCCTGTGTATTTTGTGGCCTATAACTTTCACTTTTTTCCTTTCGAAAATAAGACTAAGTAGCGACCCGGTCTGGCTCCGCACGGGCGCAATGCTGAATATACATATAATCGCGTGAGACCGCTGCTAATCATAAAGAACTATAGGACGAAGCGCGGCCTCCGCCGTGCTATTTATAGACACGCGCCGCCGGCCGCTCCGCCGGTACCGCCGCAACCGTTATGTCCCTGCATTTTGAATCTGTAATATCTTCGAAAATATTCATTCAAATCACATGCTGTCTTTACAGCATGACCCCTTGGTCATATTGATCTCTATTAAATGCACAATGTATTCAAGGTACTTAATTGGATGAGAATTGATGCTGTATTGCTTAAAAAAGTAAAGGATAAAAAATGGTGATTGTGAGTTATTCCTATACTATGTAGTAAAAGTTAAGTCGTGATACAATGTTTTTAAGATAAAGTGGCACACAATTTCGTCATGATATACGGGATACAGTGAAAAATCTGAAACAATCGAATATCTCCAAAAATAATTAAGTACAAAATTTTCATACTATAAATTTAATTCAAGACGCTTTTCACTACAAGGTACTTTCACCAGTTGGACTGGTACATAGCATAGAAAAAGCAAATGTACCAGCTATACTATAACAGTGTTCAATTGAAGGTGATTCATTAGCAACGTCGCACTCGAAGTGACCAACGGATAATCCTTTTACCAACTCTGCAGAGGCATACCAAAATAATATTTTTATTTATTGAAACACAGGTAATTACGTAAAAATTGTTATAGTAGAAGGCGCTACCTGGTGTCAATGGCAAAATTGATTACATTTTCTTATTATGCCTAATACAGTACTTCAAAAAAACAGAAAAATTTTCAAAATAATCATTATGTTCCTTTTATATAGAAAGAGAACTACAAAGCAAAGAAATAATTACTTATGTTATGCTTATGAAGTTTCAGAATCCAATGACTCGACCCCAGTTACACTTAAATCTATTATTATTTGATCGAAAACAGTGTCTACCATCCCATCCAATCTCCACATTTTCTCTTCTTCCTTGATCACATGGGCTGCAGCATTAGCCCAATCTTCTTTCCGTATCCGTTCCATTGTGAGTTCTAATAAACGTCGGACAACAGAAATTTTATATGTCACGTTTTCACGAGAAACGTAACCCTTAATTTGAGCCCAGATTAATTCTATCGGGTTTAACTCGCAATGGTAAGGAGGAAGTCTCAAAATGGTAATGTCTTCAGCACGAGCTATTGTATCCACCACATGCTGGCGATATCTGTCACGATGCTGTTTAATGACATAAGCTCATAAGCTCGGTCTTAACCATGTCATCAGAAAATGGAATTCCTTTTTATCCTAACCAACTCTGCATGTCTGCTTTTCTGGTGGTCATAATTGGCAGCTGTTCTACTAATGGGCTGTGATAAGAAGCGTTATCCATTACAATTACCGAATTTGGCTCGACTCATGAAAGAAGGGATTCAAACCATCCTTCAAAACGTTGGGCGTCCATGTCTTCGTGATAATCCCCCGTTTTTTTTTGTTGTCAGTTGTTTACTTACCTCAAAAACGATTTTAAAGTTGATGTATTTTGAAAAACTATTGTAAGATTTTCACTAGAACAGATTAACAAATCCGCAACACGTGTTTCGCTGCACAGTAGCTTTTTCGAGGACGCTTGATAATGAAAAAATCGAATGACTAGTTATGTCATTTTTAGGTCGCAAATATAATAGACCTGCGAAGTTTACCGATGTTTCAAAGTATTTAACGAACTGGTTCACCTATTCGCTCCTACATCCTATCGATATGCAGAAGCTATCTTGTTACGGGGGACAAATTTAATGGAATCATCTTACTTTTCAATTATTTACAATGGCGATGCATAGACAATAAAAATGACCTCGGTAAGAATTTAGTCCTAACATTTAACATTGTTGCCGTTAGCTCTCAGTTCAATTTGTATATGAGTTACCTTCAATTGAAAATTGTCAGACTATAGTAGATTTGCCTTTTCACGCAGAGTGTTCAGCTGTGCTCCTTGCGTCCCACTCCACAGTCGATTTTCTGGGAAAGGCACCACTTTCTATTTCCCCTCTAGAATCCACAATGCCGGAAATTACTTTTCGACAGCGTCTAGTCAGGCGAATTTTGAAATAGCTCAATATCAACAATGCGTCTGGTCCTGATGAACACCTTGTGAACTATTCTAGAATTCATGAAATATTCTATTTGAAACTACTATAGTCACAGGTTTTGTTAACACATTTTTGATTCATGCAGATATGGTCGGTGATAAAAAAAGTTATATACTTCGATAACTAAGCATGTTTTCCATCAATAAATCATTTGCCGCTCAATTCAGTTAACAAGCAGAAAGTAGGTAAGCTATGAGAAATTAATAACTTGATTGATGTCAAATTATTAGCAATCAAAAAGTGTCGAGTTTGATCTATTCAAATTAAAATTTTGGTTTCATGTTTAGAGTCAAATTTGGTCCGTATTTTTTTGATTCTGAACATCAGCTACATGCCTAGAATTTAATGCAACCAGGGAATGAATAGATTACAATTTGCTAGATAACACGTGAACTGGACTGATTGGAACATGTTCTCTTCACAGACGAATCTAGGTTTCGTCTCCATACTTTTTATCGGGGTCTAAGAGTGATCCGACAACCAAATGAGAGTTATGCCCAATGTAATATACGCAACAAAACGCAACAATTCCATCAACAGCGCGGACAGATATTGGTTCTTTTCGAGAAGTTTTTTATTCGAGCATGCTGTACCCTTCGCTTCTTATATCAGCAACTATTTTTGCTATTACTTGATGACGTTACCAAATATTCACATCAGGACTCTGAGTTGGCCACCGCATAGTCCAGATCTCAACTCGATCGAAAGGAATAAGATGAAAAAAATCAAAATTTGGAACGATATTGATCAAGACTAACTAGCAACACTCATGTCTCGTCGAATTGAAACACACGCTATCTATTTTCATGTCAATGTTGTAACAGGATACTTTTCTTAAGATATGCTAATAAAAATGTGGTAATGTATACAAAAACACTTCATTGTGAGATTTTCACTAAATATTTTTTGAAAAACCCAACACGTCTTTCGCCATACAACGGCTTTTTTGGGCGTGATAGATTATAAAAGTCCATGTCTTTCTTATTATTAAACATAAGTGAACTATTCGAAAAACCAGATGTTGAGAAACCTGTGGTACACTTGGATTTCAAAAACAACAGTTTATTATAAGTCCTAGAATATTTCATGGGATATTGCGAATTTTAGGTGGTAACAAAATAGGATTGTTACACCGAGTATACAATAACAATTAACTTTCTAGCAAAATTAAATTAACACAGCGATATTCTTGAACAATAAGGTTATGAGACATAGAAAATCACGCAAATGGTACAGAAGGTTTACAAAATTCGGACATCAACAATGTCCCTTATATGTGATGGTGCGTAAGTATTGCTTCATTGTATTTTTGATAGATACAAATTTCATTCGAGAATTCAACTATCGATTGAACATGTTTATTATTATGTTTATTACGGCTTTTCAAAGTTATACGTTAATGGGTCAATACCCACTTTCTGAACATTAGAAACTAGAATTCAGGCCAGTAACCGGGTGCAATTGCATATCAATATCGTGTACTACACGAGAGGTCGCAGGTTAATGGTTCTTTTGAGTTATACGCATGACCAGATAGCCTTTTGAGATACACCCAATATAAGTTCAAAACAAATGACACAGTTCTCAAATCATCACTGAAAATATCAACAAATCTAGTCACAAACGACAATAAATATATTATTCGAATCAAATTTCGTAGAAAGTATTTTGCAATATATCAAATAATTCAATTGAAGTTTCGCGGGATAACAATTTTTATGCGTTTTTTTATCGAGTGGAAAAGTTTTGTTTATGTTGGATATCGGATCAAACGTGAACCACCGCTATTTTTCATTCATAAATTACGATTATGGCTAATCTGTTTTTTCCACAAAATAACAGTTGACTTAATAATTGATATTATTTGTTTGTTTGGAAATATTGAAATTTATCGTTGTGATTATTACATTGTAAGAGAGGATTGGAGGAGTGAGGCACTAAATTGACAACAGCCTTGTGACACTCGTAAAAAGAGACCTAGAAAGATTCAACTTCCATAATATTTCCTAGAAATTACTTAGCTTAGGTTAGGTTGGGTTTGAAGTGTGTGGGTCTATTCGATCCTCCATCGCAATCCGCAAGGGTTTATTGTGGCTCAGACCAATTCATACTCGACCCAGCTTTTTAAATCAGATGGTAAGATTGCGGCTCAGCCAAACTCTAAAAACCTGATTCGTTCCGCAGTGGGGCAGGTTTTCCGACAGTCCGAGTCTCTGCATATGATGATTCAGACGACAATGACCTGTGAGAAGGCCTGTTAGACATCGTAGTTCATCCCCACTGTAGTCCAACAACTGTTTGGTTTCAAGCTTGGAAGGGTGAATGAACTGTTAAGTTATGAATATGAGAACATCATTTACAATTTTATTTCATCTAGTTGTATATAGTTGCTATTGTATTTAAAATAAAAAAGAAAAACAGTTTTTGTCAATGAAAGTCAAAAGAAACATTTCATTTTCTTCAACTGAGGAAAGTTATTAATTCCAAAAGGTTATGGGCCCAGATGATAAGTTGGGAATTCGTCAGTTCGATGGTACAGATTTCGACCATTGGAAATTTCGAATGGAATTACTGTTCAAAGAACATGAAGTTGAAGAAGTGATCAATGAAACAGTTCCCTTGCCGGAAGACTCCAACTGGAAGAAAAAGTACATCAAATGCAAGAATATTATTGTGAAATGTTTAGCTAATTCGCATTTGGAATGCTTTGAAGATAAGAAATCTGCGAAAGTAA